TGGCGATGTGCGTGCGATGTGTGAAGTTTCTACTAATTCGGTAGATAAAGCCGGGGTGATAAAGATAAATAGGTGAAGAGCTCCAAGCAGCTGGGGTGTTTTTCTTTTTTGTAATTTTTATTCACCACGTTGATTGCCTGCAAGTGGGAATGCTGCCAGTGTGCCAAAAGTGTTGCATTCACTTTGCCCGGACGAAAAGTTTTCTGGCGAAAGTTTCGCATTTTAGTAGCAAGTTATGGAATTTTTATCCTCCAGATGGGAGTGGCCACCCGAAGTGCCAAAATTATATTTAAAACGGGTTTTTTTATATACCTTCCTACATATTTGTGTATGCATAGCACTTAAGTAGTTGGCATCTGGCACACCGAAACCCTGGAAAAGTAGAAAATAATGTAGGCAGGTAACTTTTTGCTCTGAACTGATTAAAAGGAGGCAAAGTTTTTCATTTCATTTTCCCTCGGAGATTCTTCAAGCGTTTAATTACCTCAATTTCCTGCGCAATCTACCAATGAATAAGGGGAAAACCGGTTGGAACAGTTTATCGTATTGTCGCATTGTCGTGCCACTTGAATCGAATGGGTTTTCAATTGAACGTTGCTCATACGCCATGTTGATCCTGTTGACATTGTTGTTTCCATTTTCTTGTTCATATGCGGGCCAACACACACGCACACACATGTGCTCAATGCTCATACTGGAATATAATTGTTGCCAAGTTGTCATTTTCAACATTGTCATTGGTATCTGGCATTTCAGCTCCCTCCTTCTACTTTTCCCCGATGTCCTTTGTCCTGAGTTATCCTGCGTTTGTGATTTTTCTTGCTGCATACTTTGGTGCGCACGCAGTAAATATTGTTCCTGCCTGATTGTTGTTTCTCCTCTGTGGAATTTGTGCTGCTCTTCTCATACGTACGTGTTCGCCATGATAAAATGGGATTTTTCAATTTTCACAGCCAGTCAGTCGCTCGCTTTTCTGTACTGTTCCCTCTGTTGTGTGCATTCAAATTGATATTGCATATGATTAAGAGCTAAACGGGTTAACCTCTGATGTGCTGGCCCAATTTATGCAAATAAATCAGAAACGATAATGACACCAAACAATTGAAAAGTCAAAAGCAGAGATTTTCTATGCATATGCGTAAATCTGTGGGAAATATTTTGAAAGATTATATAAGTGGTTAGACAGAAATCAATAGGGTTTATAAATGTATTACTATAAAAGAAGCAATTTTTTAAACGGCATTCGTTACTAATAACTATTTAATTTAGAAATCTAAAAAAGTAAATTGGTTAATAATTTTTTTTAAAGGTGTCTAAAAGTATGCAACAATTTATTGAAATCTTTTATACACTTTTAATGACGAGCAGAGATTTCTATGCATATGCGTAAATCTGTGGGAAATATTTTGAAAGATTATATAAGTGGTTAGACAGAAATCAATAGGGTTTATAAATGTATTACTATAAAAGAAGCAATTTTTTAAACGGCATTCGTTACTAATAACTATTTAATTTAGAAATCTAAAAAAGTAAATTGGTTAATAATTTTTTCTAAAGGTGTCTAAAAGTATGCAACAATTTATTGAAATCTTTTATACACTTTTAATGAGGATTTTGTGTTCCTAGATTTTTTCATCTATCATTAAAATTCTTCTAATTTTTTTAATTTTAATTTTAAATGATATTAAGAACTAAGTAAAAATCACATCTGAAATATATCTCAACCCACAACAAAGAATAGGCACTTCTGCTCACCTACTTCGCCACATTATCATCGTCATAGCTCACCTTGACTTGGTTTTTTCGACTGCAGGTTCAACCAGGCCAAAACTTTCTCTATATTTTCTCTTCTCCTCCCCTTGACTCCTCGCAAAGCACACAAGTGACTTTGAAAAGTGCCTGGCAAACTGTGGACGGATGCGAAATGCCGGATGGATAGGATGTATAGGATAGTCTAGTCCACCCTTTGGTTTCCCGTTTGTTATTTAAATTAATTAAAAATGTATGACGAAACAATAAGCAGCAGACTGACCTTGTTTTTGTGGCTCTCTCTGTGTGTGGAAAAGCGCGTTCTTTGTGGCACTTTCCATATGTCTGCTGCTGCGTTTTTCCTAATAAACTTGTGCTCCAATAAATGGGCAACGAAAAGTGTTGAAGCACAAACACACGCTCTTCCTTTCTGGCTTTTCCGGCTTTGTTTGCACGGGACAAACGGAAAATTCCAAGCGTCGCATAATTGCATTTGTCTTTTGCATTTTTCTTTCTTTTTGCTTGAAGCACAATGGGCAAATAGAATAATAGACGAAGTACAAAATTAATAAATGGTGTTTACAAATGTTAAAAATATTTTGAAAATGGATAAATCAATATTTATTTATTATTTGTTAATTAAAATTTATTTATTTTTTTTTAATTTTTTAGCTTTTTGTTATTGTATAGTTTCCGTAGTGCCAACGTTTGGAAATCTTCCATCGTATCTGTTATTTAAATATCGTTAAAGTTTTTGCCCACTCCCTGTGTTTTTCTTTTTTTGCCCGTAATTATTTTCCCGCTGCCGCCGCCGCCTGACGAAACTTTGTCATCGTTGTTGCGCGCGTCACACGCGGCGTATGCGTAATATTTTGTTATGCATGCAACTGCGTTCGCTTTAGGCGACCCCCCTTGCACCACAGAGGTGTGGTTAAAAAAGCAAAGGGGATTGTTGTCCCACATTCCCCAGCAATTAAAAACGGTAGCGTGTTATTTTTATTTTAATTATAAAGCCATAACTTTATGCTAATTCCTTTTCGTTTCGTTTTCCTGACTGCAGGAGGGGATTATCGGGAGCATGGAGGTAACCTAACCGCCCCCTAACCCTCAACTAAATCCACCTCCACATTTGAAACTCAACCCATAAGCCGCTTAGTTCTAGGGGGTAAAATAAGTTTGGTCTATTTCAATTGGTTTTGTTGATTGTTAGTTTTTTGTTCGAGTGGTCACGAAATAGAGAGAAATATACAGATTTCGTTCGCAAATCGCTGGCTAATTGTTTTATTGCATTTTATTGGATTGCATTGGGGTTATCGAAATATCCGAATTGTTTTCCAATGGACTCCCACACCTAAATGGCCGTCAACTGTCGACAAATATCGTTAAAATTTAGGCGATTTTGCAATATGTTTTTGAAGCCCAAGCTAATTACAGTCTGTTGGCTTGCGTGTGAAAATGCCAATTGCCATTGCAATTGCAATTATATAAATGCACTGAAAGTCTGCTGAAAAACTCATTTAAATGCATGGCACACACAGACGGCACCACCTGCGGGGAAAAGCGGGAAAATGGGAAAAGTGGAAAGCGGGTAAGTGGCCACTTTTGTTTGTTGTTGCCTTAGTGTCTGCCACTTGGCTCTCATTATCAACAACATAATCAACCACTTGCAACAACTAAGGCTCTGTGTGTTAGTTTCAATGATTAGCCGTGTTCTTAGGGCACGGAAAATAAATATTTACGAAAAAATTTAATTATAATTATAGAACAATAAATAAATGTAACAAAAAAATATTACAAGACCCCACAAAAATTATTTCAAAATTGTAATAAAATATTAAATCATTTAATTGACAATTTGCAGTCAGAAAATAATATATTTGATAATTATTTTTTATTGAGAAAAATCTTGATCTTAAAAAGAATATGAAAACGAAATAGTTCAACGATCGTATTTGATATTAATCCTTGAGATCATGATCTCTCTCTTTAAAATTAAAATATTTTTTTAATATTTTAGTATTTATTTATTTTTTTCCTGGGAAAACAATATATAAAAGTTAATATTATTAATCCCTAATTTTCTTCATGTGTCGGCTCGTCCTCGTTGTCGTTGTCTCTGGAAATTGTTGGCAGTAATTAACAAACACTGCGATAGGGAGATATATCCACCTTACACGTGACGTCACGCACAAGTGAGAGTGACAAACACTTAAACGTTAAATGCACCCAGCTAACTGAACTGAACTGAGCTGAACTGACAACTGCCTGTCTGCTGGCTGTTTTCCTACCTGTTTTCCTCACTTCAGGTGCCATTGCGTGTGCAACACGGCGTATGCGACATAACTTTTCACCCGATTTTCCACCCAACTCGCTCTGGGCTACGTGCTCGTGTAAGCGTGCATGTTTAATTTGGCATTGCGTACTTTGCGGCGCGGTGCTGACTGCATTTCACGTCCTCAAGTTTACTTTATTATTATTATATGTGCAATTAAAGGGCGGCTTGTTATTAATTTAAGGTGAAATAGTAAGGTATTTCAGATAAGAACAGCGAAAAATCTAAAGCACTTGATATAATATTAATAATGCTAAAGAATTCGTGTTTTGAAGTTTGGCTGTTAGACAAGCAAAAGATAAATATAGTGACTTTTGAGTAATTAAAGTAAGAAGACTAAGGGCTGCAAATAAATCGATGACATAATCGATTATAATAATGATGCTTAAGAATTTGCGTATCGTTATTGATAACATTAATGATGCTCAAGAATTCGCGTAAGGAAAATCAGGCAATCGACTTTAGAAAGTTAGGAGATTTCAGCGAATTGTTTCCGAAAGTCGACCACAAATTAGTACCAATTTTAAGGTGACAAATTGGTATCGGAAGCGGCAAATGGTATCTGGTAAACTGGAAATGGCCAACCGCTGGATAGTGTGAATTAAAACTGCATTACATTTTAATTGCGCACTCTTGTCGACTCTGCTGGGCTCTCCACTTAATTACTGTTATTATATGCACTTTAATTTTATTTACATGCTCGTTTGCAACGTTTATAAATCTTTAAGCGACGCACGTAATCGTATGCATTTTTTTATTTATATTATTTAAAATGATTTGCATGTCTCTTTATAAATATTTCATAATTTTAGCATTTCCCATTTTGTTTACTTTCATTTATTTATCGTAAATTGCCTGTTATTGTGTTGTGCTTGTGATCCTGTACTGTCCTGTCCCGTTTTGCAACCTGTCTGCGTAGCATTTTGGAAAACAAAATCAGGTTGGTCTCCTGTTTTTCTGTATTTTTTCAACCTGTTTTGTCTCCTGAACTCAAAGGAACTTTTGATTTAACTCTTTATATATTTTTATTCCCTTTTCCGATCTTAAATATAGACAACAGTCGCTGCTGTCGGACGAACAGGCCAAGGAAGTCGAGCAAATACTCAACGCCGCCCCCAGCGTGGGCGTGGCAGTTGCTGCCGTTGTTGCCACAGCAACATCGCCGACCAGCATCAAGAATCTCATTGAGGATTTGCCCGGGCAATCATCTGTATCATCATCAGTTGCTGCCAACGGGGAGCAGGATATCCAAATTGCAGCTGTCCCAGCGATTGTCGAGGAGGACGAGGACGAAGAGGAGGAGCCGGAGCAGCAGCAGTTCCACGAGGGGGAGGAGGAGGACGACGACGAGGAAGAGGACCACGCCAGGGCCGAGTTCGATGTGAATGGCGGCGAGGCTGACGGCGATTCCGATGACGTTGAAGCCGTGGACATTGTGGGCTATGGACATGCCGCCACCTCTCTGAATGCCACCTTCGTCAAGGCCGACAGCACAGAGACAGAGACGACCACCACAACCCCCTCGACGGCGACCACAGCCACCACTCGCCACGACGACGACGAGCCCGAGTGGCTAAGGGATGTCCTTGAGGTAGGATCTGTTTTTATATGGGGAACTGTACTAGAATTCTCTGGCAAAAATTACACTTTTAAAGTAAAGCTTGAAAATATCGATATTTTCGATATCGTGTCGATAATATTGATGATTTCAAGGAAAAAATTACTTTAATTATGTTTATCATAAAACGTCAGGAAAACATCGATTTTTCAGATAATCATTAATGTTTAAAAAATATCGAAATCATCGATAGTGTCGATACTTTCCAAGCTCTACCTTTAAAGCCTATTTAAGAAATTTTAAATTGTTGAAACAAAGTTGAAAAAAGAATATTCGTTTGGAAACGATTAATATTTATGTTTTAATTTTATAAATATTAATCGATATTTTCCCCCCTTTTTTAGGCACCCAAGCGCAGTCTAGAGAATCTGCTAATCACCTCGGCCACATCGGGAAGAGGACCTGGTCAGCGGGAAGAGCTGGAGAACGGCTACGATCTACAAGAGAAACATTCCGATCTGAATCACACCTACGTTACCGGTGGAGAATCGCTGCACGAATCGATTGTATCCGTGGAATCCACGCAATCGGATGCCACACTCAATCAGACGACGACCATTGACGACAGCATCATCTCCAGCAAGCATAATTCCACCTACTCCCTGGCAGATGCCGAACAGGCCACCAATTCAACGGTGCTCAGTACTGGGGTCACCGAACTAGACGACAGTCAGTACTATATTCCCGAGTATCCGCCTGTGAGGAGCAAGGAGGTTCTTGTAGAGGCGGGAGTGCATTACTTTGAAGATGGCAACTTCTGGATGGAAGTGCCAGGTGAGTTGGAAACCCTTTTCTTTATAGAGAATATTTTATTAATATTTAATTATATTTTTACAGGTCTCCTAGACTTTGACGACGACGACTGCTCTTATCCGCCCATCACTGTGCGCAAGAATCCCAAAGTTCGCTTCAGTTCCGGACCCATTCACGTGTATTCCACCTTCTCCGTCAACGATTACGATCGCCGCAATGAGGATGTTGATCCTGTGGCCGCTTCGGCGGAATACGAGCTCGAGAAGCGCGTGGAGAAGATGCACGTCTTCCCCGTGGAATTGATGAAGGGTCCCGAGGGTCTGGGTCTCAGTATAATTGGCATGGGCGTTGGCGCCGATGCAGGCTTAGAGAAACTAGGAATCTTTGTGAAAACAATAACCGATAACGGAGCAGCAGCCAGAGACGGTCGCATTCAGGTGGGTTTGGGTTATCAAAAATGTAATTAAATATTTTAATAAAATTATTAATAATCCCCAGGTCAACGATCAGATCATTGAGGTGGACGGCAAGAGTCTCGTGGGCGTCACACAGGCATATGCAGCTTCGGTGCTGCGCAATACTTCCGGTCTAGTCAAATTCCAAATCGGACGCGAACGTGATCCCGAGAACTCTGAGGTAGCCCAGCTCATACGACTGAGTTTGCAGGCGGATCGCGAGAAGGAGGAGCGCTTGAAGCGGTTAGTTAGCCAGGCTACTAGTCTAATCAATAAATATTACATGACCTAAAGTTATTTTAGCCAACAAGAGGAGTACCTGCGTCGCACCCTCGACTATTCGGAGGACTCCACCCAGCCGGTTTCGGCCAATTCGAGTGTCTGCGAGGGACCCTCGAGTCCCGTCCAGGTGGAGCATCCCATGGAGGTGGAGGCCACCCATTCGCAGGAGGTAGAGTCGCTCAAGCGGCTGCTACAGGAGGTAAGGACTCAAGGGCTTGATGGGACTCCAAAGAATCCCGGAAAGAATCTCTCTTGCAGCCTTGCTTAACAACTACTTGTGTGTTTGTGTGTTCTCTTCTCTCTCCTTTTGCTGAATTTCAAAATTGTGTGGATATTGAAATGCAGCACAAAGCGGTAATTGGATTTGAAAATATCATTGAAAACGAAATTTTAGATAATCGACAAAAATTGTAGAGCACATTAATCAAGACACTTTGATTGCGTTTGAGTTTTTGTAACTTGGTAATTAGTTGATTTTAGTTTCAGAGTATTTATATTTTAGTTCTTGTATTTAGTTTTATAATTTCTGTATTTTATTCTTATTATTTTTTTTATTTTCCCAGAGCGAAATGGGTTGCCTGGTTAAGGAGGAGATTATACAAAACCTAAAACGAAAGGTTGGTTTTCTGTTTTATATTATTTATTATTTACCCAACCATCATCTCATCCATCAATTGCACTACTCTTTGATATTTAAAGGTATAGAATACTAATATATATTTTTCTGATCACCTTCCCAGCTGGTCAAGCTCGAGACGACGGGAAATGAGAATGAGCTGCTTAGCGAGCGGCTCCGGCAGAGCGAAAGGGAGCTGGGAAATATCCGGAAGGAGGCGGCCAATCTGCAGAACATGCTGCAGCAGTCGCAGGGTCAGTATATGGCTCTCGATAAGAAGTACAACAAGGCCAAGCGGCTGGTGAGGGAGTATCAGCAGCGGGAACTGGACATGTGCCATCGCGAGGAGTTCTACCAGCAGCTGCTGCAGGAGAAGGACACCGAGTACAATGCGCTGGTGAAGAAGCTCAAGGATCGGGTGATTAATCTGGAGCACGAGCTGCAGGAGACGCAGCGAAAGGCTGGCTTCCCCGTGGGTCTGCCCTACGATAGTGCCACCCTGAAGTTGACCCCGCAGATGATGCGTAAGACGCCGCCAAAGCCCCTGTTCCACAAGCTGGAAACGGAGTTGTCGGACACCGAGATCTCTGATCTCTCACCCGATGGCGATGGTGTGAAGACAGCAACGGTGGAGCGTAAGGTTCCCGTGAAGGACGAACTGGATGCGGCAGTGCCGCAGCACGAGCTGCTGGATAACTCGGTTAACAAGACCAAAATCGATCTGGGTGAGTCCGCGCCACAGCACATTATCTTACCCCAGCACCTTTTTACTCATTATTCTACAAGATTGTCATGGTTTTTGAACGAAAATATGCTTAAAAGTTGACTTGTGCACTTTTTATGAGAAAAAACGAAGTTCTTATTCTGCTTTTAACCAAATCTAAGTTCTTTAATTTATAGAATTTTTTAAATTGTAAAGACATTTTTATCACAATTTAAGGAGCTTAAAAACCTTTTTAAATTTACCCAAAAGTATGCTACAAAAAATATCAACACGTATTCAGCTTTAAAAATTATTGTAGCATACTTTTAGACTGATTTTCTGGTGTTTTCAAAGCTCAGGAGTTTTAAATTTTTTCAACATTATAAAATCCATTTTGTTAACCATGATAATCTTGTTTTGAGCGTTTTGTTCTTTGTGCTTTGAGCTCTGCACCTGGGCTAAGCTTCAATCACCTGCTCCTCCTCTTGATTTCCCTTTGCCACTTTCTTCTTCTTTTGTGCCCCGTCATTGTCATCTCGTGCTAATTGTTATTCTCTTTCTTTCCATTTCTCTCGACTTTATTTTTGATCTCTGTGTGCCGTCTGTTCACGTTCGTTCTTATATCGTTGTTCATGTTTGTTATACGTTCTTTGCTCGTTGTGTTTTTGTGACTGCCACGCCTACACGCTGCGCCCTCATTTTGCCCAACAACAAAAAAATCAAAATCAATTTGAAAAAAAAAACACCAAAAAAATCAAAATACGCACCCTGCCAATCCAAAATCGGTATCTAAAACAAAAGCCTCCCGTGGTGGTTTAGCCAATCGCCAGTTGCCCTCAGCCAATGGAAATAGTACTTCAAATGGAGGAGGAGCCGCCTCCGCCGCCGGTGATCTTGGCCAGCTTTCGAACGGTAATCTCCTCAAGCGCAGCCGCAGCAACAGTCGTAGTTCGGACTGCACTTTAGATGACACCGATGAGGAGGAGGAGGAGGAGCGCGAGGGATCGGCCTTGAATCTGGCCAATGCTCCGCCTACCTCCCATGAAACCATCAACCTCTCCAACGGCAACTCGCATCTGCTGGCCAACGTTAACAATCTCCTCCAGCATCATCCGCCAGCCATGGCCAGTGTGGTGGTCAGCACCCCTTCGAATGGCCACCTGGGCACCACCACGGCCATTCTGCTGAACTCCACCTCCTCCGCCTCGTCCAGTTCGTCCAACCAGTCGACCGCTCGCGAGGCACAGATCAATCAGCTGTACGCCCAGGTGCACAAGGATCCCAGCAAGCAGCAACATCAGCAACAGCAACAGCAGCAGCAACAGGTGACTCAGCAGGCAGTGACCACCAGTATTCCCGGCATTTTCAAGAACGCTTTGGGTTCGCCGGCGGACAATGGATTGAATGACTTCCATCGCGGCAGCATGACCACCTTTGGCCAGGGGCCAGCCACCAGCAGCAATCGTGATCTCAACAGCTCGTACGACTCCATCCTCGGTTCCAACGATAAGTTGGCGGAGAACGACCCGGCGGAGAGTTGGATGTATCCCTCGAGGAGGCGAGTGGCCCCCAATGGCAGCAAAGTTCCACTGCCCGGATCCAGTTTTACGGACCAACTCAACCAGGCGCTGTCCGATCGCGAGAGGTGGGTTAAAAGAGCTCTCTAGAGAGTTGGTGGGACAAGGGTATTATTATTATAATTTATTGCTAGAAAACCTGTTTCGATTTTAGTTCCAATGATATCTTGCATTAAAATATATTTTAAGGACTTTTAAAATGTTAAATCATGGGAATTAAACTTAAAAATAGGGTATTTAAATTAGAATGGAAAGAAAATAATATTAGATAGATAAAATAGAATTTAACATAGTGTTCAAATGAAAAAGGATTCAGAAAACTAATACATTTTCAAGGTTTTATATTATATCTTGTTTAAAAGTTAAGACATATTATAAGCCCATTTGAGAGGCTTAGGAAATTAAAGTTAATAGATTTAATTAGAAAATCCTTACATTTATTAGAAAGTAAAATGAGAAAAATTAAAAAATTACTTAAAATGGGTCAAACACACACACAAAATATTATGCACTCTGTTATACGGTTGCTCGACCTTTGCAGGCGACTCGGCGATGGATCTTCGCGACATTCCAGCGACGATTACACGGAGATTAACAAGAGCCAGAGCGCCGCGGCCATCAACTGCAAGACGCTGATCAACGAGATCCGCCAGGCGGTGAACGAAGCACAGCCCAAAGGTGAACTATGACCAACCAACCAACCAACAAGACCAGCACAATCCTCCGAATCTCTCTCTTTAGCCAGAACGTAGACTAACCATAGTAGTTCGAACCTATTCCCAACGATCCTCAAAAAAAAAAAAAAACGAAAGACCTACATATCATGCCCATCATCTCATTTCATACAGATCTGTACATATGTTTACTGTTCTAAAGGCCTAAAAACTAATCGAACACTGTTATTTCGTTATAACCATTATATATTATGCGAAGGTTTTGAGAGTTCATTGCAGCTATCCGTTTATCCGTTTACATTACTCGCATTTCCCCCATATGAATATATATATATCTCTCTATAAATATCTATATGAATGTCTAAACTGATACCATACCATGTGCTCTGCGTCGCAATGCCAAAAAGGATCGGATCCAGTGCGATCTCCACTAACCCAGACTTTTCTATCTCTCTATCCTCTTCTCTCTCTCTCTCTCTCTCGCTCGACTAACCCGTAATTAAACCAACCGTTAGTTAAACAAGTCGTTCCACAATCACTCTCCCCGCCCGGCACAGTGCCCTGGCAGCAGCAGCACCACCAGCAGATCCAGCAGCAGCCCTCCGCCCACACCACCGGTCCTCCGTCGCCCACCAGCATGTCCTCCGGCTGCTCCTCGCCGGGATACTCGCCCAGCAGGACTTTGGATCTCTCCGGATCCAGTTCTAGCTTCTCCGATCGCAAGGCGGTGGCCGCTGGCTATACCTACAAGGGTGGCCCCGTCCACGAATGGACCAAGGATCAGGTAGGTCTTACACTCATAAAAGAAAAATCGAAGAATTCCCTTAAAATCTAGAAAAATCTTTCTTGAATTTTTGCCAAAGGCCACCTCACCTTTGTTTCAAGTAATGGTTTTTTTTGAAAAGCAGAAATTATATTTCTTAAAACAAGAAATGGTTTTTTTAGAAAGCCACCATTAAAACAAGAAAAAATATTTCTGGAAACAAGAAGGGCGATTCTTGTTTCGAAGGTGGCTTGTTTCTTGTTTCAAGAAATTAAATTTCTGAAAACAAGAAATGGTTTTTTAGAAAGACACCTTCTAAACAAGAAAAAATACTTCTTAAAACAAGAAAAGCAAATCTTGTTTTAAAAGTGGATTTTTTCTTGTGAAAATTTCCTTTCAAAAAATTGTATTTCTTGATTTTATTTAAATATTATTTATTTATTTCTTTTTTTTTATTTATTTAATTAATTTGTATGAGTGTTGGATTGTTACATATTTAGTTAAAATAATATCATTAATAATGCCCTTTCTCCTTACAGGTGGGCCACTGGCTGATGGGCATCGAGCTGGAGCGCTACATCCCCGTCTTCAAAGAGCACAACGTGGAGGGCGGCGCCCTGCTCACCCTGGACTCTAAGGACTTCAAGACTCTGGGCGTTTGCGGCGACGACAAGCATCGGCTAAAGAAGCGCCTTAAGGACCTGAAGGCCAACATCGAGAAGGAGCGCAAGGACATGGAGCGGGAAAGAAGGGAGCGCGAGAAGGCCATACGCAAGGCCGAGAAGAAGGCGGCCAAAAAGAAGTAGTTGAATTCTAGTTGATAAGCATCAAAAAGTAGCCAAAAACCAAAAGCATACGCAGTATATATTGTAGTCTATATATATATAGATATATATGCATACACAACACACACAAGAAGCGTATATAAAAAAATATATCTATTCGGTTATATATATTTATATGCATGTAATGATAATATAATTTATTTGTACAACACACACATCTATTATACATACGTACTACATTTTAACCTATCGAACCTAATGGCAACTAGACGTAATTATTCTAAATTAAAGGAATAGCGAGGAAAGCAGCGAGTAGAGAAGGTCAGGAGCGATAGAGTAGCAGTAGATCTCGGTTAGAATTGAAACCCCGACTCAACCCTGACTCAAAAACCGGGCCCAACATCCAACCGATGGCACTCAGACTTCCCCGACAAACAAAAAACAGAACTCACAACCAAAAGAAGAAGCTAAGTAACTAACAAAAAAGGCGTTGGACTGACTGATTTTTATGATTAATTTAAAAACAAAACAAAAAAAATAAATAAACGAAAAAAAACAAAACGAAAGGAATTCTTTTTTAAAAGCCAACCAAAAACCAAAAAGAACCACTTGAATTGAGAATGCAAACGAAGGCGTAGAACACTTAAGGAATTCGCTGAACAGACTTGAACGGTTTTAAGGAGCTGCTTCAAACAAAAAATACAGATTATAAAGATAACATTGTAATAACGTTTAAGTTAATATCTCGTTTTTTTCTAATTATTAATCTGTGTGTAATTTAATGACTAGCGCATATTCAATAATATTCAATTCTAGATATACAACAAGACATCTATGGAATGTACTGTACTATCCCTAACCCCCTAAAATTAATGCTAAAGTATTGTACTGTATGCTATGCCTGAAAGTCATTTAAGTACTTAAGTAGAGAAGCTAGTGGAAGTGGAAGTGTGTGTTTTCTGTTACCAAGCGGGCTGCTGGGAAAGTTACCGATAAAGATAGTATATCTCATGTATATCGTTTACTTTCCTAGCAACCTTAGCAGCCAAATCAATGCAAAATGTCCACCCAAAATTTGTTAAGCAGCCAAAAAAAACAAAAAAAAAAATTAAAGCAAGCTTCAAGAGCGATTTCTATTCGTTAGCTAGTATGTCTGTGTGTGAATGGGCGTGAGTGTACCTTTGTTTTCACCTTGTTTTTACTTTGTATAATACATATTTATAAAACCTTTAGTATTTGTATTTCGTATTCTTAGTTGTTTGTATTTACTTCGTGTACTTGTGTTGTGTACGTAGTTTTATTTACCTTATAATTTCGAAATGTTGCAATAAAACCGCATATACATATGCCGGTGTATGTACGATGATAAACCAAGGCTCTCGTTCTTATCAAATCTTTCCACTCCCTAATGGATAAATCACCCCACAACAAGCGAAGGCCACAACAATCCAACCGACTTTGATTTATCGAGGAAAAACCAAATTTAGCAACTAGTCCTTGGTTTGGATTACCAATTAGCATATATAATACTTATCAATAGAGGTGGGATTTTATGGGAAGTCAATTTTTTAAAGCCCAATTTCAGCGATCTATTATTGGTTAGAAATTTTTCGAAATTAGTTTAGTTTTAAATTGTATTTCGATTTTATGAAAACATTTTTTAACCAAATAAATGTGGCTGGAAATCGTATTAGAAAAAAAGATTTCTTATAAAATCCCACGTCTACTTATCAACATACGTATATACGAATACTCTCTTTCTCTCTATCACTCTGTCTCTCTATTTGACTTTAAGACCCCGGCCGTGGCCATAAGGAGAATCCATCAAATCCCCTAGTGGAAAGGTGGACGATCCCATGGATCCGATGGCCGGCAGCGCATAATCACCGCATGTGTCTCAATCGTCTCGTCGCAAGTCCTTAATATAGCTTTTGAAAAGCTCGCCTCTAAACAGTGCCATCAACCAAAAAAAAAAAGAAAACAAAATCAACCGTTATTACTTACTAAAAACGATGATAAAAACACCTTTAAAAACCAAATAACGAAATCAGTAAATTCTCAGATGCTGCACGCGTCCGAAAAAAAACTTCCGCTTCATCTCTTTTTTGTGGGCGTGAGCCTCTTCCAAAAAAAAAGGATTCAAATCGCACGCGTGCCGTATTTCAAGATAATTGTTATTTTTTTGAAAATGTACTTCAGTTAACGTTTATTTTTGGGTAATTGTTTGTAAGCGTTTTTTACACCGTATTTAACACACTCAAAAAACCAAAAAGCGAAAAAAAATGACTAACAATCAAAAACCAGTTTAAAATTCGTAAAATTAAATCAAATTAAATGATAAAAGTAATTTAGCTGTTGCCCCGAAATTCTCAAAGAGTAGGGGCCAGCCACTAAACTCCAAACCAAAAAAAAACGAAATGTATGACACCTACAGAACACATTCGTGCCTTTTCATTGCGAAAAACCGTCCCAACCATAATAATTGAGCAGAGGATTTAGTACGACCATCTAATCGGGTCTCTATATAGTGGATATTGCCAGCTTCCAAACTTTTAGGGACCCGAAAATCCTCTGTCACGAATACGTTGAAACATTTAAAATCCCGCAAATGCCTTAAATCAAGAAAATTATATTACCCATTAGATATTCAACATTATTCAGTTTGCTTGTAGGTTTTGAAACATTTTCGAAATACTTGTTTTAGTTCTCCGTTTGCAAACAAAGTTGGCTGGATTTTGTGGCTACGTGAAGAGGAGGTGTGAATCCATCGGGAGGTTTAAAAACCATTTCTCTCTTTGAAATATTCCGAAAATGCTTATGTTTTTATTGTGTTTTCCCACCTCAAGTGAATTTTTATTTGATTTGGTCTTTTATTTTCTTCTAGCTTATAGTTGGTTTTTTCTAATGCTTATTTTGAATATAGTTTCCTTTCCGTTTACTTTGTGTACAAGTTGATCAGTAAATAAATTTACAATTTCATGGATGTATTTATAAAATAATCGATTTTTTCAACTGAATAAATCGATAAAATGATTAACTTGCGAGAATGTGTGTTGCCATATTATTACTACTTTCACATATATGAATCGGAATTTAGATTACCCTTCCAATAAATTAAAAGCGAATAAAAAAGAATTGGCCAGCGCAAAAAGGATTGTAAAAGTTCATAAAATAAACACTACACTAAGCAATTACAGCGACTAGCCAATTAATATTGATGACAACACCGCAATTAGCTAAACAAGTAAATTGAAAAGTATACATAAATTGCAATAAAATCTTACAAATCATGGAAAATAATAAATCACAAAAAACAGTGCTAATAAATATACTCTGAAATAAACCTAAATATGAAATGCATTTCTTGTTTACTCGCCGCCTCAGGCAATCTCTTATCTGCCTGTTCAGTAATCCTGGTTTTAAAAACAACATCTTAATGGGTTTGTTGTACTGCACAAACGGGGAAAATGGGAAACTCTGTCGCAAATCGAACATAGAAAGGGAGATCTTCTTGGGAAGAGGCCACCAACAGATACAAAAATCGAAATGCTGCCTTTTCAAATCTTCCACGGAAACATGAATGGAACATTTTTCAGCCTTCGTGGGGTTTTTCTTATCATCTGGGAATTTTCCACTCACTTTTGTGGCCTGCATCTTGCGAAGAGGTCAATTTTCATGGTCTTTTGGTTTTTTCGGGTTATTAATTCTTAAGGAATTTTAAATGTCATTTTATACCGAGTGATTAGAGTATTCAATGCTCGGTTTTATTACCCTGACATTTTAGTTCTCACACAATCTTGTTTTGATTAAATTTCAACTGACGTCGATTAGTGAAATTGAAAAATACTTTTACCAACAGAGTGCCTAGCAACGAAGGGTAGTATATATTTTAGTTATTTTTATTTTTCCGATCCGAAACGATTAATTAGTCTAGTCTGTGGGATTACTATATAGCTATATGTTTTAGCCTTGATTAAATTAGCTGTAATTTTTTACACTGTCTGGGTCCTGTACCAATTTAAATAATATTTTGCATTTGCATCTGGTACCGATTGCACTTTTGCGTAATGCCATAAAGTTGTTTACCGATTTCAGGCTTTGTTAAACGGATCATCGTCACAGCGAATTATGTACCCCCCATGAAGTGATAAGCTCTTCTACATAGATGTTGCATCCTTATCTGCTGTATTCTTACTTCATTTAACATTGTAGTTTAGTTGTTGTTCTTAAGAAAACATTTAGTGGGTTAAGTACTTACGGGTGCGACTTGGATCTATTTGCGAATTTCTTATCAGGGGGATGAATGGGTTGCTGGGTGATTCAAAAACCAATCCCTATTACAACAGGCATAAGCCACTCGTGTTGACTCTAAGGTGTCTGGCTGGAAACCGATGATCTGGTAAAACTTTCCGACTAGTCAACCGATAAGCCCTGTCAAAGGTTAGTGTACGAATTATAGAAAATTCTCGGCAAGTGGCATGTTTTGAAAATTATTTAAAAATAGCATGACTGATTATTTTGTTTGGCCAGCGATTTGAGCAATTTTGATAAGTGTTTTTTGTATTTATTTTTTATACAATATTTTTAATTTAGAGTCTAAGAATACTTGTAAAATTCCATTTAAGAACTGTAATTTTCATTTTAAAGAATATTTTGGTGGCAGAAGGTATCATTTCTGACTAATAACTTTAATTATTTTGACTCAAATAATATTATGTTGTACTTTTCCTTCCTAAAATAACCTTAAATTTAAAACAAAATCTCTTATTTCAATACCCCTTGCTTTTATAATGACTTTACCCGCTCAAGAATTCCAGGTGTTTTCTCACAAACCTTACAACCCATATCAAAAAGTCCATAAAAAACTTATCAGCTAAAATTTGCGGAATCATTTATGGTTCTCGTCAACGTTCCCCATCGAATAATGTGTAACTAAAAGAGTTGTTTTTCCCCTCCTCCGGCACACACACTTTGTTTGAAATATATTTAAATTCGCTCAATTCAATTAGTTAGGAGCAACGATTCCGGCAGTCCAACAATATGCGGCACCCATACGCGCTAAACGATTTTAAATTGAATGCTGAACAATCAGCGGCGGCAGAGCGTCGATCTGGATCCCCGAGAATTCCGATTCTGAAACCCAAACCGAAGCAGGGAATCTCAGAATCTTTTCCTGAAGCAAAATAAAAACGACGTCGGCTTCGTCGGGCCTCCAGTTTATAAACCCTCGTCCATCAGTCGGCAGCGTTCATTTTACAATCAGCGGTCGAGCAGGCAGTACAAACGCTAAAGAAAATACCACACAGAGTACTTATATACCTACCATAGAATTCGAGTTCTGAACGCGACCAGAAAATATTGTTTGTGAAACGTAACGAGATTACAAAGGAGATTCCAGTTTTCTAAATTAGTTTTGATTCGCGATTTTTGCGACATAATTCGTAATAAAGCGTGAAAGTTAGATTTGCATAACCAGAAGAAGCGCCGCGCATCTCAGGCGATTATATAATTGCTAAAATCGATTGAACAAGAGTATCTTCATCTCCATTCGCAAAATGACGGGTTACAAGGTGGCCAATGGCAATGGCACAACTAATGGAAGCTCGAATGGAAAGACCAATGGCAACTCCAATGGACACAGCCAGTCGGCGGAGTACACAGCCCAGGAGAATCCCACGTAAGTTGATATAGGGGTTCTATTACAATTTAGTTTATATGAAAGGGCCTCACGCCACAGGCTCGTTAACTGCAATCAGCTTTAATTGAAACTTCCAATCGAGTGCTTGGCTTTCAATATTTCTTTATGGTTTCGCATTAACCCCACTGCGCCACCTGTCCTTTTCCTTACCCTTCAAAGCTTTGACCCGCTTTTCTATCGGGGCGGCCAAATCGATATGGCCTTGGGTATCCAGTAGGCCGCGCCAGTAGCTTCATTCGATGCCTGACTTTTAGTCACTTTCAAAAACACGCTCGGGCCTACAGGAAAACCAAGTTCAGACCAGAAAACGCTCCGTCCAAAATTCGCTGCCTTCGCTTTCGGGGCTAAGAACTCTCTTGAACAACTTACCAACAGAATGTGCTCCCGCGACTGTTGCTCCGGACCAGGTGGCTCCCACAAAGGCAACACCTGTACGGATAAGAAAGGCGGCAAAGGGGGAAGTCTCACTGGCGAGAAGATCATACCCACTCCACAGAGTCTGCTGTAAGTTGAAGGGTTAACTTAAGGGCTCCCTGCCTTACTTGTCAGTCTGTTTTATAAGTTTCGAAACCCAATCCAAAAACTCAAATCCCTGGCTTCAAAATGTGTAGCACCGACTGCTGTTCGAATCCCAAAGGCAAGGCGGGCACCAAAACCGCCATCAATGAACCCGCCAAGTTGTTACATACAGTACCCACTCCCGATAGCAAACTGTAAGTTCGTTCTCTGTGTTTACTGTTTACTAGCCAAACTAAATCAAAATTCAGCTGACACAGCTAGAAACTGTCCTTGATCTTTCCGCTTTCTGCTATCAAGAAATGAGCTCAACTTGGATCTCTTGAATTTAAATTAAGACATTCCAGTATTCCAGGCGGCTTATCAATTTTCGTCATTCGACTCTCGCTAGTCATTAAAGTCCCATTCGAAACATCTTTAATCTGCATACGATTTAAATTAAATTTTGAAGTGGTTTTCGCTTGGCTTGGGTTCATTCCCGTTTAGTACACAAAAAAAAATATATTTTTTAAATATTTTTAAAACTACTTTTTTATATTTGTTATATTTATTTTGTTTATTTGACATTTTATTTCAATCATATTTTAAACGAATTTATCAATTTATTTTTAAATCACGATTTTAAATGCTTTATGATCTTACATTTAATTAGAATTAATTTTTTTATGGTGTTTTCTATATTAATTAAACAGAATATATTTTTTAAATCACGTTTTACGTTTACGTTTACTAAGTTTAATGTTTATAGATCTTAGATGTAATGAAATATTTTTCCTAATGTTTTTTCTGTGTAGCAAACCTTTGCTGATAAAAAGCCCAAGATTACCACCTGCTTATATAAGTGTTTAATGGCCCAGTTAACTGGTGGGCAATCGCAATCAGTTCCCTCTGATTGGCTGCGCAAAGCGGGTGTGTTCCCATGATCTTGACATAGGCCTTCCACATCGTAATCTTTACTACAGATACGGGTAATTGGCAAATGGTCCGTCCGATAAAGAACGCAGCTAAAACATGTTGCCGCATTGATTAGTTTCGAAACTTGTTTTTTGTTTCGATGGAAACAGAAACACCAGACAGAATCAGAATCAGAATGAGAATGCTGAATATTGATGAAGCGGCGAAAAATGCCGCGTCGCGTGTTCAGATCGAATTTCCATAAATTACTGGCTACCGAAAGATCAATTCATTTCATTAAAGGGATGATGGGATTATGGTTAATGGTCGCCAATTAGTGTAAGTTATGCGTGATTCTGGCTACCCATTTTAATGACGCACTTTATGTTTACTAGAGGCTTGTTTTTGTTTTTTCCCTCGATGTAATATTGATAGCACACAGCATCATCAGGCGACGAGGCTTATCAATTAAACACGTGGGGGGTCATATAGGATCACTTTTGGTATACCAAACAACATCTTAACATAACTCGACTTGCAGTTCAAGTTCGTGTAGTTCAACCTCGAACCAGCTGAATTCTTTATGGCCATAATAGAGCTTAATTGCTGGTTCCAACTAACTCGATAATAGACTCTACCTAGAAAAAGAGAGCCATAAATAATACGAGGGGGTCCTTATCTCGCTGCTTTGTTGACATTCTTTTTTCAGCTTTTCAGCTTCATATCTGTTTATCATAAAACTTTTGGCAACCTACTTAGCAAAACCATTTTATTCTCCACAATTGCAGCGGAAATGGAAAAATCCTATGCGAAATTACGCCCGAAGAATTGAGGGCCTTGCGGGTTCTCAACGAAGACACGTTTGTAGACCAATTCTTCTGCCTTCTGTTTCTCTGTGTTTAATTTGTTTCCATTAAAATGTGATTGGCAGTGAAAAGAAAGTGATCTCAACGAAGAGTGTTCTCATTCTTCAGAGTTATACGTGTCCTAAAATTTTGTCATTGAAATATTATTATGTTTGTGTGATAAATTTCATATCTCCATTTTCATTTCAAAGATCTCAAAGTACATCTATTTTTGTGTCGTTCCTCTGTTGTTTTTATTATCATCAAACTTATTTGTTTTGATAAAACGTTGATTGGTTTTTGGTATCTGTTTATATTCTTTAGGGGAACTTCATCAATTGGTATAAGTTCCCCTTGGGAATTTCATTTCTTCAGTACTTTGTTTATCATCGCGGCAATCAGATAAAAAGGATCTCTTTGCCCGTGTACCATGTACCATAATATCAGTCCACTTGTAAATTCTTTCCACTTTTATTAGTTGAAAGATCAAATATCATTATAAACAAAAAACTAATTATTTTAACGCATTTTTATAGGTATCCCTATGAGGTCATCGAGGAGATCGCCGATTTCATCACCAAGGGCTCCGGCATGCGTCCCAAGATCGGCATCATTTGCGGCTCTGGGCTCGGCTCTCTGGCCGATATCATCCAGGACCCGAAGATCTTCGAGTACGAGAAGATTCCCAACTTCCCGGTGTCCACAGTGGAGGGCCATGCCGGACGACTGGTGGTCGGCACTCTGGAGGGAGCCACTGTAATGGCGATGCAGGGCAGGTTCCACTTCTACGAGGGATACCCCTTGGCCAAGTGCTCGATGCCGGTGCGAGTGATGAAGCTGTGCGGAGTGGAGTACCTGTTCGCCACCAATGCAGCGGGTGGCATCAATCCGCGTTTCGCGGTGGGCGACATTATGCTGATGCATGACCATGTCAATATGCTGGGCTTTGCGGGCAACTCTCCCCTCCAGGGACCCAATGATCCCCGCTTTGGACCCCGTTTTCCCGCCTTGGTTAACTCTTACAACAAGGACCTGATCAACAAGGCCATCGAAATAGGCAAGGCCATGGGTATTGAGTCGAATATCCATGTGGGCGTCTACTCCTGCCTGGGAGGTCCCAACTACGAGACCATCGCCGAGCTGAAGGCTCTGCGGATGATGGGCGTGGATGCGGTGGGCATGTCCACCGTCCACGAGGTCATCACTGCCCGGCACTGCGACATGAAGGTGTTCGCCTTCAGCCTGATCACGAATAAGTGCGCCACCGAGTACAGCGATAAGAAGGATGAGGAGGCCAACCACGAGGAGGTATATTATATCATTATAATGATGGCTGAAAGACTTACTAAAATAAATCTCCGCTTCACAGGTCATGGCTGTGGCCAAGAACAGACAGAAGGCCTGCTGCGAACTGGTCGCCCGACTCATCCGGGAAATCCACTCGGCATCCGTTTAGGCAGCGAACGAGGATAATAGCGTTGGATTCTAAATTTAACATTAGTTAATTCACTAGACTCGCCATCTAAGAGTCACATGACACCCGGATTGTCCCAAAATTTACAGTATAAGCCTAGGGAATAGTTTAACTAAATTATGTAAAATAAACTAGAAATATAACAAAATTAAAAAAATTAGTTATCTTTCGATTTAAGATTTTATAAGAGTAGTTTTCCCTTATTGGAGCATACTTTCTGGCTGATACGGAAAAATGTTGCATACTTTCTGGGTGTAAGAAAATGTTCAACTATCAGAGATGCGCAATAAATAGGAGTAGATCAATTTTCCGTTTTTTCCTTATAACTGGTCGAAAATCCAATCCACAACCGAATGTCATACTGCTTTAGACAGCGTAGGACCAAACCTATTTATCCCCATAACTTTTTGGCTGATTTCGTAAAAAAAATATTTTGATCAAATTTCGTTTTTTTTATGATTTTTTGCTAAAAATTGACAAATTTGAAAATTTACAAGTTTGAATGGGAATAGATAGGGAATTTAATTACGAGTTTAACGATGTATGACACTCCATATTTGGATCATTATTTCCATTGTTTTGGCCAAAATACTTCATTTTGTTGAGTGCAAAATCAGGAACTGTGCTTTTGGTCAAAATAGTACTTTTTCATTGTGTTTTTTAGATGTAACAATGGAAATAATGATCCAAATATCAAATGTCATACCTCGTTGAATTCGTAAATAAATTCCCTATCAATTCGCATTCAAACCTGGAACTTTTCAAATTTGTCAATTTTTTGCAAAACATCATGATGGTTACATCATCAAAAAAACGAAGTTTGATCAAAATATTGTTTTTACAAAACCAGCTAGAAAGTGCTAAGGATCGGTAATTACGGTCATATGCTGTCTAAAACAGTATGACATTCGGTTGTGGATTGGATTTTCGACAAGTTATAAGGTAACAACTCTGGGAAAAAGAGTGTTTTCGAAAAACAGCCCAAACCAACAGACAGCCCCAAAAAAGTAACACCCGAACACAAGGTTAAAATACAATAAAATGTTATTTAATAAAAATTAAATATACGCAATAGTTTTTAACAAAATAAAAACACAAATACATAGTTATAAAATTAGGAAAATAAAGCTAACATTAAAATGATATCGAATTGAAAACAATGATAGAACGAGAGAGCTCGTTGGTTTCTTTTTTTTTTTTTTTTTTGGTGTTTGCAGAGATTAAACAAATGCAATTTCGTTAAATCGATAAAATAGTAAATAAAATAATGGTAAAACAACTCAACTTAATATTATGTACAGGTAAAATCGAAGAACTTCGAACTCCGAACGGCTATCGAATGAAGCGAGTTGAAATTTATTGCCTGGCATCGTGCACTTGTGTATAATAGTCGTTACATATTTAAAGGCTATGTAATATATATATGTGTAAAATAGAGAGTACATAGGGATATGCGCACGTGTGTGTATATGCTATACTATATAGGCCTATAGAATACGAAAGTTCCGCTGCAAAAGCATCGCCGCCTACGAAAAAGTGCTTAGAAAAGTGATTTGTGATTGTGTGTTCAAGTCTATAAGTTTGCATTGTGCCTCTCTCCTAGAACAGCCCGCGCTCCTTCTTCAGCTTGGTCTGTTTCCAGATGGGCAGCTGCTCGAATTCCGCCCGGCTGCAGCCCAGTGCCGCCTGGAAGTCCTCTGCATTCAGATAGACCTCCAGCCGGGTGGGCTCCACTCCCTCGGGCAAAGGACGCGCTTTCAGGACCTCCAGCGGGTATTCGGTCTGGGTCATTTGTGCCAGCATTGTGCCGATGGTTATGGAAGCATCAGTTCGTCCATCCTGTAAAAAAGATAACAAATTATATAAATATTTTTTAATGGTTTATAGCTTTTCAACCCACCTCTTCGTTGATTTCCCTCACATCCGGACGCTCTGTCCAGTGGGGAAAGAGTGCCTTGAAGGCCAGTGGCTCCAGGCCTGCCCACACCACCTGGCCCCGGATGCCATGGAAGGGCTCCTTGTCGTTCTCGCCGTGCTTGGCACGCCAATAGTCGACGGCTGTCTCGAGGGCAGCGCGTCTCTCTGAGATCCAGCGATTTACTCCAGCCCGGTTGTCGTTGGTGGGACTGCTTCGCTCATCGGTGTTTACTAAAAATAAAATAGAAATATTAATTTTAAAAATTTGGCATAATTTTAAACATAGTATTAACTAATTAATTGTTTCTGAATTTCGGTTTTTGTTTTTAGATTTCTAAGTCAAGCCGTTTTTTCAGGTTGTTAAACTTTCCTTTTTAAAAGGGCGCTCTTTTATATTATGATGTTTATACTTACTTTTCACATCTTCTAGGGGCCACCAGCCCATCCAGAGCCACAGCTCATCGCCGTCGTCCAGCAGAAAGATGGTTGGCTGCCTGGCATTGTACAGCTGAGCCTGACTGAAGGGATAGGGAGAATGGAGATCCTGACAGCGCAGGGGATCGCTCAGTTCCAGGGCCTTGAAGACACCCTGGGTGCTGGAGAAGTTGAAGATCCTTATTTGGTAATCAAAAGCCTTGGTGGACTTAAGCAAGCTGCCATAGTCATCCCTGGACTCCTTCAAACCCAAGGCTTTCTTGCACTGCTCCTCCTCGGAACCCTCCTCCGCCTCGCTTAAGCTGGCTGATTCGCTGCTGAAGAGATCCTTGGGCACCAGCTTGATCAGATCCTGAGCAGCCTCCAAGGCCACCTTGCGTGTGTGAGGAGCACTCTTGGCTCCATGCCAAACAATTACCTCCCCCTGACTGCCATGAATCAAAAGCATGGAACTGCGGGATCTCAACTGACTGGACTGGCAGTCGACTTCCTTGAGAAGCGTCTCCTCGTTGACATTGCCCTGCAGCTGGTAGAGTCTCCACTGGCTGCGCCTCTCCAGACACTGCTCCTTGCGTCCGCGATGCTGCCACATTTGCCGGAAGAGCCTGACAAAGGCAGTGCACTCGTCGCCCTGGGAAACCCTCATCTGGGCGCCCTTCTCCTTGTCCAATTCCACGGTTAAAAGAGCAGCGGCTCCTTTTTCGTTAGCACTCGAATCCTGACCCTGCCAGGTGAAGTAGACACACCTGTCCCGACCCACAGTGCTCCTATTGGACACCTTACCACTTAGCTCCCGAACAGTGACAGAAATCTGGTAGATCCAACGAACTATGTAGCTCTCAGCGGAGTAAAAGTGACCATAGTCCTCCTGGTTATTGGCTGCATCGAAATTAAATTCGTGGATCTGCCACTTGTCCGTGGACTTGGTGATCACATCAAAGTGCCGCATGGTGTCCGTATCATAGTAGAAATTGCCACGACCTAGGTTGGCCTGTTCCAGCACAAGATTAGGTTCCTGGTAGGGTTCTCCCTTGTGCAAAGCGACTCCATTCAAGGCCCGTACCACATGCACTCCATTTGAGAGGTAATCCTTCTCCAGATCCTCGCGTTCCAGCTCCGGCCAGTCGCTGAACTTTTCCTTAAAAAGCACCGTCTCCATATTCTGGGTAATCTTGCCAAGAACACACCACTCGGGACGTTGAGTTGATCTTTTGGCATACTTGGCATTCTCACGACGACCCACGATGGCCACGTAGTTTAGGGGATTCAGATAGCAATCGGCATAGTCCGCCGAATCCTCGGCACCAAAATGCTCCTGGGCCAATCTCATGGCAGCCCTCTTGGCATCCGAGGGGGCATTCTTGCCATTCCACACATACATCTCGGCGCCAAAGTCAAAGACCAAAACCTTGCGGGTGTCCAGCATGTCCACCTTGGGTATGCAGCCCCAGAACTTCTCCATGGGGACGAGAGCCTCATCCTGGTACTCGTAGATCTTGTTGGTCTCAATTAGACTGCTCTCGAAGACATCATCCTCGTCGGCATGCCCACATTCGGCCATCTCAGACTGGTCATCCTCTTTCTTCCCTAATAACTGCCAAAATTGCCGCCACTGTCGCTCCTTCAAGTACTTGCCATCGGTGAGGATCACCTCCTGGCTGGCTGTGCATCCCAAATCCTTGTTCTCTACTATAGCGGCGCAGATCTTCTTACTCCTGGAGATCTCAATTACATTGGCAAAGGAACCCACATAGCGGAATAGCTGGGATCCTGCCACCAGGATGAAGCAATCTCCGCGATTCAGCGAGGTGTACACAGGTTCCACCAGCCGCGTTTGCACATGGGTGCGACCCTTGACATGGAGCAGCATTACCGGCTTGTGCGGCAGCCACATCTGCTGCAGGGGAATCGAGGAGGAGCGCAGGGCCACCGACTTGAAGTCCTCAATGGAGGCTAAGCCAGCGATGGCCTCCGCAGCCAGGTTGGCATTGTGGCCATCTATTGGAGGGAAATATAAACTTTAGTATTTAATTTAATTGGGGTTACCTAGGTCAACTTACATGACTCCAGCTTGAGGCGTCGCAGTTCCCTCTCCGCTATGCCCGACCTCATTTCCGTGTACTCCGAGGTAATGTCCTCACGAGCAGCCAAACTCTTGAGAGGATTGCGTGCGGCCCGTCGTCCCTTGGGACCCTGCACGTGGCGCTTGCTCACCAAACTGTTCGAAAAGGGAAATTTTTGTTTAGAATTTGGAATTCATTATGCCTGTTTACTTATGCTAGGTCTAATTTTTACGAAACTTTTTTGACTCTTATAAAAATAATGCAATATTTTAGAAATTCGGCTAATAAAATGAAATCTTTCAAAAGCTAATCTTTGGGGAAAAAAATATTTATTAAAATCAACCAAATTTTTAACATTTTTTAGGGACCTTTTCTTGTTTGCCTGATAAATGTAATGTAGGTTTTAGGCTATGAAAATTTATGGGATTTCCGAACTTAAAGCCTGCTTTAAATTTAAAACATAAAATATACAACAAATTACCAAAATTCAATCACTTTTCTTTAAAAAATGTGGTACTTTTAAAAAATACTTTTCAACATTCAAGAAATAGTTTTCTAGAATAATTGTTAAAAATTTGTTTCTATATAATTTAAAAATATTACCCTTAAATTAACATTAGGGCCAACTTCTTGAGTTAAGATTTAATTTTATTGTAAGTAAAAATCGTGTTATGTATTTTGAATATTTAGTGATTAAACTCACCGTTCTGTAGGCTTGATATCATCGAAAGCGCTGATCTCCAGCTCCACGTTCTCCTCCTTTTTAGGTTTCGAAGCAAAGAAGTTCTCGAAGGTCTCCTTGTCGTCCAGGCGGGGCACTTGAATCCTGGCGCCCACATTGGTGGGAGCAGCGGCACTCTTGTTGTTGGCCAGTTCCTTGTTCTGCTTGGCATTCTGGGGCGAAGTCCTCTCGCCATCCGATTCCGAACTGCTGCTGTTGGAGCGACTCAAGTTGGGGGGCACCACCTCCTCCTCGGGATTCACACTCAAACTGCGAAGGGCTGTGGTTTTATTGTTTGTACTCGAGGTCACCATCATGGAGGGGCTCTTGGCCAGTCCCAACTGCGGTTGATTGGCGCTGCGCACCTCCAGCATGGGACATTTTTTGGCTGCATCATTGGCAGAACGCTCGAACTGGAGTTCCACGGGGGATTGGGCCTTCTTTTGCAGTCGGCCAGCGACTGTGAACTTCTTGGCATCGGTTTGTTCTGGGGATTTAGGATTTTATTTCTTGATTTTCTCATTTTTTTTTTATATATATTATATTAAATTACTACCTATCCTCTGCTTCCAGTTCTCCGAATTACACTTGAGTTTGCTCAAACGATCGGAGACTTTGCCGCCCTCCAAACTTGTGGGTATCAAAGGCGATGGGGGCAGTGGTTTATCCGACAGCGAGTGGGCCAGAGATAGTGATTCCTGAAAAACACACACAAAAAGGTAGACGAGATTCGTGATTACGTTCACTTTCCAAAAAATACTCAAGACCACCCACGCTCTAAGCCCCAAATATGAATATGCGTTTATAAAGAAATTAACAACATTTTAATAGCCTCGAATATATGGTCAACAATCTGACGGCCTTATCGCCTGGGTTGTTCCCAATTTTAAATGAGCCATGAGTCACACAAAACGCTTCTGTTTGTCAACAGTTTTTTGTAGTTTGAGGTAAGGGAAATATGGGAAAGGAAAAAAAGCTTTTACCAGTTTTACTTTTTCCATGCCGGCGATTTAATAGCTTGTTTGTTTCTATATTTGTTTATTATTAAACGAATAGCGCGATTTTCCAGCTGCTGCTGCGTCGCACTTCCCACTGGCACACCTCGAAATCTGAAGGCCTTTCAGAGCCAAGTACGCTCCATTAGTGACCCGCGATGGATGAGCAAATGAACGGGCTGATGTATCGGGAACTCAAGTTCGCTTTTGCTGCCGGCCAGCACAATGCCAATCTGGCGACTGCCAATCGCCGCCTGGCTAATTGCGCACCTTCGGCGAAGCTCTAGAGCTCTAGAGTCTAGAGCTCTACGCTCGCCAGCTGGAGAACCGGAGAGCTCGCAAGGGAGACAGTGCGAGTCATGCGATTAGATAAGGCTGCACTGCGAAATGCCAGGCTAACAAAACAATAGAACGAGCTAGGGGTTCTATTTGGTTCTTGCCAAGGCAGAAATAGTATTGGTTTGTACATTTTCTTGAAATTTAAGCCTACTTGGAGCTAATCGTAGTGATCTTGGGGCCTTTTGAGTGGTAATTAAATGTTTTCTTTTTAATTAAGATTTTCAAAAGTAAAAAATTGTATAAAAATAAAAGGTGCAAATAAAACAAAAATGTTATTTATTTTAAAGAACTTCAAACTCTTAAAAAAAAATCTGTTTTAATATATCTATAATAGTTTACTTTGAAATATTAAAGAATGAATTTAAGAAAAGAAGATTATGTTATAAGATAATATTAATAAATGCGAATCCTTTTGGGAACTCAATAGAAACAGGCTTACAAAAAATTAGGTTTGGTTTTTTTACATAGTTAAAAAAAATATATAATTCATTTGGTAATGCAAAAATAATGCACTTTGAATATTTACATTCCTTTTCTTTGCGTTTATCTCAATACTACCCCTTATAAACGCAATGGTCTTAAGTCAATAATCTTGTTATGCTGTTTTTAAACGTATTTCTTTCTCTGGGTGTTTTGTTCTCTCAGTTTCTCGGAAAGATAAGAAGCGAAGAGTCGCTACCGATATGGGTATCATCGTTCATTCGACTTCCCTGCACTCGCGTCGATTTGTTTACTTTCCTGTAGTTATTTTGTAGTTTATAAACTGTCAGTGCAAAGCGAAAACTTAATTCATGTGTTTACATGGGCATAAGTTATGGCGTGACTGGAATATCGATAAAGAGTTATAACAAACAAACGAATCTTATCTTGAACAGAAACTGTGTTTGTGGGGTGAAGTTCATAATCTTGTTATCTTGTTAAATTTATGTTTGATATGCTTATGCAATGTTTAGGAATTTCTGTTTATGTTTGCTGACCCACTTGGATCTTAATTAGTCACTTATTTTGTGGCTAAATCTTTATTACCCTTAATTATGATAATTTAAGGCCTGCGATCGAAGAGACAAATATAGTAGCCAAGGTCCTCAAGAGACCCTCTTAACTCTTTCCCTCACAACGGCGGCGTATTTCTCTTGAATTTCAGCGTGTGTCATCCACATAAAGCCACCTATCAATGAATTCGAACCTCTCCGAATGAATCATCCAAATCCACATCATCTCACATATATAAATTGATAAAACACACATAAAAACTGGGTAAAAGCTGGCGGGCTAATGAACAAGGAAAACAAACAAAGCGCGACAACAATTTGATTAACCGATGATGTGATGGAAATTGAAAGGTAGAATTCTTCCGCTAGAGAACCAAAAAATATAAAATGCTATAAACACATCAACCAATAGGTATGACGCCACAACAATGTCAACCAATAAATGCCAATTTACAATATTTTTATTGGCTTTTATTTGCCTTTTTGCGTTGCTTTATTGACATTTGATTTTTGCATGCGCTGAAAAATATATTTGAAACTACAGAAAATGTTAAAAATTAGCATATGAACATATTCGTTTTTCTTTTTTGGTTTAAATATTTGGCAACCGGTAAAACTAAACCAAACCAAACCGAACCGAAAGCCAATTAGGCCAAGTTAAGGTTGCCAATTTTGATTTTTATTGTTAGGTTTCAAGATCAAGTGCGGAATGCGTGGGCATCTGGCTAATTTTGCGGCTTAATTGTGGATAAATAAACTGGAAATTTTCCCCGGAACTATGGCTACTTTATCTATAGTTCCATGGGTGCGGCAGCATTAACTCGAGAGGCGCACAGAATGGGATTGATAAGGTCGCCAGCTGTGGATTTATTATTCTTTCTTATTACTTATTATTATTGCAGTCGCTATTTGTTGCAATGTCCAAGGTTCAATGGTCCAGGGTTCACAGATCTTATACTCCCCACAGATACCTTTCACTGCACCAAAAGAAAAATAGTAAAAGAAACGAAACTATTCTTACATAAATTCCACACTATTAAATGTCTAATTTGCATTATTAAGTATGTCTAGTATACTATTATATTTATATATATTTAATATATCTAGTTTATTTATATATATTTAGTAAATTTAGTATTTTTAGAGTTTTTTTTCGGGTGTAAAGGGTATCTTCTATAATTTTTAAGCTCTTCGACATTATAAATCCGCTTCAGTGCCTTCAATCAATCAAAAGCCACAGCTACACAGAAATTACCTCACATCACAATCATTTTGTGGTCGAAAACTTTTCCCATCTCTCTCCCCAATTTATAATTAATGATCATCGCTCAAACGTTTTGATTTGCGTCAATTTATTTGACAAATTGAATGTTTCGCTTGGATGGTTGAAGACTTGCCAAACAAACGGCGAAATAAATTAGCTAGCAGCTGAAAAGCAGGTAAAAGTGCAAATAATAAATATACTAAACACGATGATCTAAAATTTTTCAAATGCTTCTAGCAGCTGTGTTTTCTCTTTATTATTATTATGTTGCATTTGATACAATATTTATTTATAACATACATATATTACATTTAACGATAAGTAATACTAGCATACAAATTCATATTTATTTATAAGTTAATACATACAATCAGCATATTAGTTTAGCAGTACTGTTTTCTCTATTAATGAGATGCTTCGCAATTTGGGATTTGGGATTTTCGAGATATTACAAAAAACATTTTATACAATTAGGTTTACTAAGTACAGGGTTTGATTGCGATTTGAGTGGAAGAGTTTCTACTTTGATTTGCTTAAGTTTTCATTAGATTAAACAAATAAAATAAAGGAGTGGGAGTTCTATAGGAAACTTGATTCTTGGCAAGGTCTCCCGAGGCTTTGTCCCTGGTGATTCCATCTGACCCTTTGGGATGGCACTATAAAATGGCTCTCCAGTCCCTTCGGGATGCTCATCTGGTGTCGTTGATGTAGGTGGTCTCCTCCACACAGGAGGCCTGCTCTTCGTTGAGGAGATCGGTGATGGAGTAGGCTGACAAGGGACGTGAGAACCTCCTTTCCGAGAGTATATCATCAATGCTGGTCACTGGGGAGAGGCACTGACAATCGGGACAATCTGACTCTGGCTCCTCGGCACTCCTCGCTATTACTTGGAATATATCCTCCATGCTGGTTTGCAGACAGAGAGAGGGTGGTTTCCTCAGGAGAACTGGTGATCTCGAGTGCTCTGGTTCCGGGGAACTGGACAAAGGAGAAGCTGTTGAAGGAGTGGCTGAGGTTCCCCGAGTTCTCCTAGGCACCGGCACCGCCATGGGTTCCCAATCGTTGTTATTAGATGATTTCTTTGCAGGCTCCTCTTCCAGTTCCTGCCACAGATGCATCGTCTGCTCAATGTGCTGCAGTTGAGCGGAGAGCTGGCTGGCAATGCTCGTTTTCCTCGAGGCACATGGTGTGGAATCCCTGGATTCATCGCTGGCTCCGAACATCCTGATCTCGGGCAGGGTTACGGGAGCCACCCTGTTGACCTGGACCTTCCGAGTGTTGCCCGTCTCAAACATCCTGGCTATCTTGGTCACATTACTTCTCTTTACAGGCGCTGGACTTGGAGGAGGTAGCTCTGATTTGGTTGGAGCCACCTGACGCTTGGGATAAACCCGGGTCACCGGTTTCCTGGCCTTCTGTTTCACCTTTCCCTCCTGAGCCAACACATGACAGCAGAGCTCTGGACCGTAGCAGCGATGGTAGTTGTTCCTATTCGCCTCGTAATCCGCATCCGCGAAGCGCTTCATCCGGATGAGGGACTTTGGCAGCAGGGTGACTATCACGTAGGTGATTAGCAAGTAGGGCAGATATTCCCCATACTCCAGGGCCAATTCCCAGGCGGTTTCCAGGTAATCCGTGTAGTCCGTCATGCTCGTCGATTTGTTTATCACAAAATTGCAATTTGATTTTCGTTCGCGCGGGTATTTATTAACTTTTACCTCGCTTTTCCGCTGATATCGTTTATTTCTTTTTTTGCAATGTCGATAAGGGCAAAGTTTTATTATGACATCACATCACTCTACAAAGGGGATTGGTTAAATATAGTGGAATTCTTTATTTATTTATTTGTTTTCACGGCTGGCATTCACTCGGCTGCAGAACGGAACACATTGCAAAATATTAACTTGGAGGTTTTATTTATTTAGCAATGTCTTCCGTGACTGGTTTATTTCCTTTGTTCGGGTTTTTAATTTACGTTTATTGCAAAACGGTTAAATAAATGTGAAAATGATTTTTTTATTTATTATAGTTTATATATTTTATAGAAGGAACGTTGTCATTTCTTTAAAAATTAACAGCTTGTTAAGTTTTGTCTTATTTATTTATTGATTTTATAATATGGCTTTTAAAAATATTGAAAAAAACTTTATTTATATTTTGCAATGTTGGTTACCAATTTAGATTTATTTATATTAGTAAAAATATTCTTTTTAAAATAAAAGTTTTTTAAAAAATGTTGAAAATATTTATTTAATTTATCTAATATTTTATAAAAATTAATAATCGAGTATTAAACATTGCAAAATCAAATCCAAAGTTTCTCATTTATTTATATTTATTTTTGAAGGATTAAAATCCCCACACACCCACACACCTTTCTTCAAGTGGTGTCCACTGCGTTTTGCACTTTGCGCTGCAGTTTGCATTAATATTTATATTTGTAAATATATATGATTAGTGCGTATTTTTATCTCGCCACGACATTCGATATCCCGAGTTTTATTTATTTATTTAGTTTGCAATTTGTTTTTATTTTTTACGAGCGTTTTCGGATTGGATTCTTTTATTTCTTTTGACGCTTTTTGTATTCCGTTGCGCCTCGCGGTCGTTCTTTTCTCTTTGGCTCCTCGTTTTAAACTTGAGCGTAAAATGCCGCTGCGAAATCCAACGATACCATCCAAACGGCTCCCCAAAAACTGAACGAAAGCTGCGCGCGTCGCTCTCTCTCTCTTATTGGAATTGTGGAGCCCTCTCTCTTTCGTTAAGTTTATTGGCCTCTCGCTCGCTCTTTTGGTAAAGAGACCTGCTGCACTTGCGCAGAATTCTGTTTGGCAATCTGATGATGCTGTTATGCTCTCGTTGTTGTTGTTGTTACTGCTTTTATTGTTGTTGTTGTTCTGGTTGGGTCTCCTTGGGTCAAGCACTTTGTTATGTCTGATAAGAACGCGCGGGTGCGAGGGAGAAAGCCGATGGGCAACTTTCATTTCAAAGAAGTTCTTTCAGTTCCTTTGCAAAAAAAGAAACCTTAACCCTTGGCTATCCTTTAACTCTTTTAAAATTTTTTATATTTCCAGAATTTAAAAAAACGTTTTTAAAAGCATACCTAATCTCTTTTTTAATTTAAGAACTTTTAGAGACCATTAAATATTTTACAGTTCAATTTTTGTTATATTTTACAGTTCCTCTTATAAACAAAGAAACAAAGAAAAAAAGAAAAGTTCCTCTTAATAGTTTAAATTTATTTTCTTTATATGCAATTGTTATAATCATATTATTAAGAACAACAAAGCTTCGTATTGCATTTTAACAATTGTAATAAAATTATTTCTCATTATTGATTCATTGCTCTCTAATTAGATTTTTCAATGGGAACGTACATATTTAAATTTGCATTCTACAGACAATTAATATTTACTATAATATATTATTTATGATAATATATTAATAACTATTACTTTATTACTTGTTCTTCTGGCGATCTTGCGCTTTTATTCGTTTCAAATTATTTATCTCTTGCAAAAGTGGGGTAAATATTTGCAGGGGTTTCCACAGTGGAAAACTGTGGCCCCAGTATCATCTTGAGTATTATTTGCCTGGTTTATCAGAGAAGCGACATAAGGCAAACAGCTCACGTAGGTAAATAAACCAAATATAGAACAGCACGATCAACAGAAACAACAACAATAACAACAACTGGGGTGCCTCTTTGTGATTTATGGGATTTAATTGCTAATTGTTGATTTTGCGCCCCTTAGAAATTTGTGTCATCTTTCTGTAAATTTTTCCCATCTATTATAGAAATATAGGCATGTGCAGCGCATATAGATGTAAAAACAGATGCGCCTTTTAGATTTCAGAACACATTTTGTACTGAGCAAAGTGAAATGCTTATTTGTGAACGGTTTGCGTGGGTTTTTGGTTCTTTTTCCGAATCTTTTCTACACGATTTGTAATGGCCAACGGGATTGCGGTCACTTCGAAGATTTCATTTCAAAGATTTTATATTTTGACAGTCGCACTTTGAGAAAGTTTTCATTTGCAGGTGGGTGGAGGTGGGTATTTCTTTTTATTATTTATATTTTTCTGTGTTATTTATGCACACACAAGTGGAATAGCCAGCCTTGAAACACTTTGGTATTTATATTTCTCGTTTTTCATAATTTCATATTTCACTTTTTCTTTTTTGCGGCCAGCAAAGCGAATGGCTGGTAAAAAATAAATAATAAATAAAAACACTGCCATTCGCTTCCTGCTGCATTCGACAGTTTATGCAACTCAAACTCAGGAAACTGACTTCGCTTCGCATTACTTTTTATGCAACTCGCAACGGGCCCCTGGTTTTATTTTTAGTTTGCCGCTTATCAATTTTAATGTCAATTGAAACCGGCAGCCGAGAGTAATAATAATGCATACTAATAAACAATAGCAACAAAGTCAGGCGAATCAAAGTCAAAATGCCGCAATTCAAAGTGCGAACCGCTCGCTTGAAAGTCGCGATTCATACTGGATCGTAAATTTCAAACTGACAAAGTCGGGTAGTTTGGATCGTATCGCATCGCATCGGATTCTTCCAAAAGCCGGGCCTTTCGAAACGAAGGAAACGAAACGAAGCTCCGATGACGAAGACAGAGCTGAAGACGTCAGCTAAGGAGGCTTTTTAAATTAAACTAAGCGTAATAAACAAGATCATTGTGGGCATACCAGAAAAAAAGGGTGAAACTTAAAGGGGAGAATAGGAAAAGACATTCGAGTTCTTTTAATAACAGAAGATAGAGTTCCTTTTGTAACTTGACTTTAAAAAAATGTATTATTTAAAAAAAACATATTTAATTTTGACCTTTTGATTTCTGGTTTAAGTTGTTTAATTTATAAGCGAGGGGTTTATTGGACTGAAAAAGTTGAGTTTATGATTTTGGCTTTTGATTATAAGCAAACTGTTTTAATTTAATAAAAATTAAATTTTGTCATTTATAGTATAAATATAGTATAAATAAATTTTATACCAAAGTAAAAAAGTTCCTTTTGTATTTTCACCATAAAACTCATTTTTAACATCAATAAACGAATATTTATAAATCCAAATTAATACAAGTTTAATCTCGAATTTTTTTTTACTAAATAATTGGTAAAATGTTTAATGCGTTGTTTAAATTTAACCCCAGCCCAAAATATAAAATCTTTGCACACACAAATTTTCTGTACACTTTCGAGGCTGGAATGTGACCACATAAAAAGGGACAACCAAATATTTTTGGGCTGGGTCCACACATCTGCTGGTCTAAGCTGATGAATCACCAGCAGATTCCTCTTTTTCAGCAGCCCCGAGAAAGCCTAACGCGAAATTGTAGTTGGACTAAAAATAAACCGAATGCAAGTTCAACAGCCATGAAATACAATGAGGTAATTGTCTAAAAATTCAATCGAATAGCAGAGAAACTAAGACAAAAAGGTAGAAGAACGAGAGCAGCGATGAAAGCCCAGGCGACAGGCCACCTTATCTCGAAAAGTAATGAATCACACACAGAAGCAATAAAAGTAATCAGCAATAAGCAGGCATTCTTGCAGCTTGTAGATACATCGGCCAGATACAGATATAAATACAGCTACAGCTACAGATACAAACGGAGAAAACAGAGGGCAGCAGCAGCAGTTGATTTTAGAAGTTTATGAACAGCTCGGGCTACTGCTGTTTTTTCTGCCTTTTTTTGCTTCTGCTCTTGTTGTCACTGCTGCTGAGAGAAGGGCATGGACTAATGAACAAGTACAGCAGCAACATCCAACAACAACAACATCTAGGCAACAATGATAATGAAGTAGACTGAGGAGCCCGGCAAAAAGCTGCAAGTATATCAAATTTACAAAACAATTTACAACAGCATGAGGCGAGGCCTGCAGCTGGAAGATGAGCACGTTCAAGATCTAGACAGAGATCAAATGCTATGGACCAGACGTACACACCACATACATATCTACACATAGCCCCTAAAAACAACAACTTCTGCCAGTTAGAAGCAGTCCAAAAGCAACCTTCGCGAGCCTCCTTTTACCTATCTTATTTTTTCACTTTGTAATTGTTAATACATTTAGGAAAAATATGCCAGAGATTTTAGGAATTTTCCAAAAAATATATTTATATTTTTATTATTTATATTAAATTGAAAAGCCAAAGATTTAAGAGAAATATTATTTTTAAAAATTATATTTATAAAAATTTAATTTTAAAATTTTTTTCAGAAAATGTTTATTGATTAACAATTAAACTTAACAAAAGTTAAGAATATTTTATTAAATAAAATGTTACTTTCCTAAAAATATTTTAAAAATATTTACTTATAGTTTATTAATTTCTTTTAATGATAAACACATATTTTAATATTAGAAATATTTAAGGTAAATGTATACATTTGACTGCTATTTTTTCCCAGTGTTGCTTTTTCAGATGCTGCTCTTGCCACACAGCCCACAGGCGAGTTTAGAAAATTATGGCAAAATGGAAGTTGGCAGCCGGCTCGAAACTGTGAAGGCAGGAGCAACAGAAGAAAACCCCAGACTATCTATATATATATTTTTAGCTGCCCTGTTGGAAGCGAAACTCCTTGAAGTCTGAATTCTGGATGCAGCCTCCAATCCTGGATGTGCCCTTCATTATTATGCGCATTTTCATTTGCTCCGCTCGTTGGCTTTCTGCGACGATCGTGGCCTGATAAATTGTGCTAAATTGCACAAGATTTCTCTCTTTCTGCTTTGACACACGCTGTGGGACTGCGTCAAGGCGCAGAAGTTGGGCAGACTAATTGCGCATACGCCACCTGGGATGCCTGCCAAACAGCGCATGAATTCGAGTGTCTCGCGTCCATCAGAGCAGAGAAAAACAGAAATTCATCTTAATTATTAATAAATTGTGCTCTTAATGTTTGTCGAGTGTCGTGTGGCGGAAAATGAGGGTAGAACTTTAGGGGAAGAATGGGAAAATTGGGCACTCCCTACCAGATGATGTATCTCTTCTAAATATATGATCTCTACATTGACCTTGTCCCACTGTTCTGTCGTCGAGAACACAGAAAAAAACTTCGGGCCAGTTACTAAAAATATATTTTATTTATCGTAATATTAGATATTCTTATACAAGTTTCTAGAGGTCCTCAAAATTTTTAAGAAATTTATAAATACATGGAAATATTTTTAGAAGTCTATCAACTTAATTTATAAGACAATATTTACTTTGATATTATTCCTCCTAAATATAAATATTATTATAACAGTCAAGTAATTTTTCTTTTTATTTTTAAAATACACTACTTTTTCCTAAGTGCACCGAACAACCAAGAAAATAGGAACCAAATTCGAAACACTAACAGCTGTAGCAACAATAACAAAAGCGACAGCACTTGAAAACTCATTTGGCCTGAGAGAGTGGGGAATATAATATGCATTTTGTTTGGTGTGTGGGTCAGAAGATCGCTCTGACACGATTTCCTCACAATTTCTCTCTCCCAACAGTAGGTTCCCCATATATATACCATATAAGGAGGCGGAGTCCCAGTAATTAAGTGTGATTACTTGTAGGGGATAACTTATTGAGGGGAGGGCGCGAAAAGGGCGGGCAAAGTCTGCCGACTACCCGCATAATTATGGACCAGAAGTAACCGTTTAATAGAGAGAGTTCACTAAACTTGATGTCTCGCCAAAAGCTAGCGGCAACTTTGAGTGGATCGGCTAATTGACAGTCCAAACGGAATCGGATTTTAAACCCCAGACTGACGCGAGCCACAAAGTGCCCATGCCCATAAATAGTAAGCCAAAAGCAGGCGAAACTCTTGAATGGTTAAGGTTAGTGAAAACCAAAACTTGCCAAACTTGCACTTCCCCAAAAAAAAACGAATAGTGAAAAAGTTCGCTTTCATTTGAAAAGCATTGCATTTCAATTTTCGCGCCCATTCTGCCGGAAAGTATGCAACATTTAATCGTTAGAGGGCGTTTGCCTGAGTGTATGCTACATTTATTGTGTAAATGCCATGTAGTCTACTAGACGTATACGTAATGA